AGGTTTGGATAACAACCAATTTTCAGGGTTTTGTCAACAAAGGAGAAAAAGGTCAACAGACATACAAGGTCTTTTTCTGCCTAGTCTGATTGCAAAACATCAGAGATTCATCCAATTCATGAATATGTAGACATCCAACACACTTAACAGAAGCATACCACATATAATTTTAGTTTCACAGCCTATATATGGAGAAGTCTGACCTTCCAACCTAAGTTGGTCTGCGATCACTTTAGTAGTGCAACACTTTCTATTAAAACAAAGATCCAAGGCACCTCGAGGACACAGCCATGCACAGAAGACTGTAAAAGTTCTACCAGCTGAACAGAGTTGAACACCCTCCTTCCTCCCCACTTATTCTTGCTGCACAACTCTGCCATGATCACAACGTATTTTCTTAATTTTGAGGCAGGCTGAGAAAGAAAAATAGGAGTAAAAATTCCTTTTAGTTATATCTTGCAGTCACAAGATCAAAACACAAAAGGACATTGAAACTCCCAGAATCTCAGACTACTCATCTACTCAGAAAACACCACAGGAAAGAAAAGAGACCAATCAATACAGGGAAAAAAAAAAAAAAAACCTTTTATTAGCACTTCAACGATTACCTGGTGTTCCACTGTAAAGCACAGTTTTAAAGATAACACTGGTACCTCTGGTTCATTACATAGCTTTATGCTTTGTTTCAAAAAAGAAAGGAAAATAGCTCATCTCCTACCCCTTTTTTAAGGAAGAAAAAAGTTGTCTTAAGTTGACTACATATAAGCAGATACATTGTACACTGCAGTTAGATACTTCAGAGTTTGCCAGAACAAAAATGTTCCAGGATATTAAATCCCTTAATCCCTTCAGATGTGGGTTTTTTTTTTTTTTTTGCTTGATTAGGAGGAGAGGGAGAAAGGGATCATTTTCTAGTCCTCCCCTTTCTCCCATTCCCCTCCTATTTTTGGCAGATCTAAAAAAGTAGAATAGAATGAAATCAGGATGCCATAACACTCAAACATAGCTGCCACAATGTTTTAAATTAAAATTTCATTACAAGTATTTTCATGTAGTGTACAACATACGATTGCTTATGTGCTTATTCTTTTTTTCCAATTATAGAAGAGATTTCTGAAAAGTGTAGCTTTTTTTCCCCATACATTGTTAGATTTAACACATTACCTGTTTAAAGTCTTGGCTTTAAGCAGTCTTCAAATAAAAAAAGAGGTAGTTAAGTGGAAAACGTTTCTCATATGTTATATTTTATACAAGATCTCAATAAATTCTGTAAAAAAATTATCAAAATAATTTCCTTTCAAGACTTACTTCATAGCAGTTTGTCTCCCCCAGATATTAATATTATTATG